TGAAACTCCAACACTTTGGCCACATGATGCGGAGAACTGACTTGTTTGAAAAGACCCTGAAGCTGGGAAAGACTGAAGGAAAGAGAAGGAGACGACAGAGGATGAGATAGTTGGATGGCATCACCAACTCGATGGACATGAGTTTGAATAGGCTCTGGGAGTTGGTGATGGACAGGGAAGCCTGGCGTGCTGCAGTCCATGGGGTCGCAAAGAGTTAAGACATGATGAGCAACTGAACTGAACTAAAGTGATATGATATGCTACTTTATTAGCCTACATACTCAGCTTACTATATACACTCCCAGTTTTGCCCCTTCATGTTCATGGGGTAAACAAAACCAAAGGACTGCACCATCTTACTGGCTCAAGGGGACACCCATGTCTCTGAGATAATCCTTCAAATATAATCCAAAGACCCATGGTGGTCTCAAGCCACTTTATGAAGGTAACAACAGGTAACGTTGAGTGATTACTAGGTATCAGCAATGCTAAGAAGGAAATGGCAACCCACTCCAGTATTCTTGCCTGGGAAATCTCATGGACAGAGGAGCCTGGTGGGCTATAGTCCAGAGGGTCACAAGAGTTGGACATGACTTAGCAACTAAACCACCACCAAGCGTATTACATCCATTATCTCAGATCCTCATAACAAACCCATGAACTAAATGTTCTTAATATCTTTATTTTAGAAACTAAGAAACAATCAATCCAAGAAATGATTAAACATTTCCATGATCAGAGCCTATACCTGGCAGAATTATGAGCAAATAGGTGATCAGGGAAGGAAAACATCATGTCCTTAACATTTATGATATAGGTACCTCACCTCATTCACTACTTACCATATCTTACAAGGTAAAGGTAGTACAAAGACAGTAAGTAACTGAAACATGAAGCTGAAACAAGCTTTAAACCTCTCCTAGACAGTCTAAGTCAGAAGCCCAAGGTCTTACAGGATTCTGAATGACTAGGACATTTTAGGGTCCTCTAGGGTTACTGTGATGACAGACCCAGCCTCCTAAGGCAGTCACTTTCATTTCCAAGCCAGCCCAGCTTCTGTGGACTGGATAAGCAATGGGGTTAAAGGGACCTGGGGTCATGCTGAGCATGACCTAATTCAGTAGACTTCATCCATTGGTGCATACCCCTCAACCAAAACCAATCAATAAACACTTCACATGTCAGGTTTTGTGTCAGGCTTTAGGATTACAAAAATGAAATCCATTCTCTGATTCAAGGAGTTCACAGTCTAGTAGAAACACGTATCCTGGAAGGACATACTCTGGGACTTTAGCATAAAAGCATATGACAACTACTCAGTAATAAGCACTACTACGTGCAAAACAAGTATTGTGTCAAACTTCACCAAGCTTGTATTTTCAGAGCAAATCTAACCCACTTTGATCTATAGTTATCTCATAGTCATCAGACTATCCAATTATTAAATCTGATGATGGAGGGGTCAACATAATAAGCATAAAGAACTGCCAAGGAGAAAGGAGTTATCTGAAAGGCTGCATATTTTCCTTCTATTAGTCTATCCTTACCTCTGCCTCCCACTGCTATATGACCTCTGATAAACACATATTAGGTATCGGGTAAATTTTTGTTGAACAAATGATTATGCTGCTTGAAAGGAATTACACAAACTCAAATAGAGAATAAAAAGCAATGAGTTTGTCATTACAGTGGTTACTGGCAAAGGTGGGGACTAATGTATAGGAGCAATTGTCACATAGACTATAATCCTCTCTTTCTCATCAGTAAGGAAACTTCTACAGCACCAAGGAGAAGACCATCTGGTAGATTAAACTTGAATGGCTTAGAACAATGGAAAAAAGAAAAAGTGAAAGTGAAGTCGCTCAGTCATGCCCGACTCTTTGCAACCCCATGGACGGTAGCCTACCAGGGTCTGCGGTCCAGGGTCTGCGGTCCATGCGATTTTCCAGGCAAGAATACTGGAGTGGGCTGCCATTTCCTTCTCCAGGGGACCCTCCCCACCCAGGGACTGAACCCGGGTCGCCTGCATTGTAAGCAGACGCTTAGCCATCTGAGCCACTAGGGAAGCCCAGAAGAGTGGAAGCACACTTTTATCTCAGGTACTACAACAGAGATTTACGCCTGCATACTTCTGGTGGGCTATAAAGCAACTGGGGAGTGAGCTCCCTGCCACATCTGTGAATATAAGCATTAACATTAATTTCCCCATTCCACTGTAGGGCTAAAATATCTAAGCCCCTACTCTGAGTAGGAAAAAATGAATACAGGAAGGAGTCTTCTCTTTAATTGAAAAGAAACTATGAAACACATCACTTGTTAATAAGAATGCTTTATTTATTCAGGTGCTGAATCCTTTGTGCTGGCAAGAAAAACAGAGAATACAGAGAATATTTACTTTTGGGGGAGCTAAACAAAGAACCTATTTGCTGACTCATTAAAGTGAGGCAAAGGCATCAAATAGGATTACATCCGACTACATTAAATGCTCCATTGTTAAGTAACAAATCTCTCTTCAGTTTTCTAAATTTTCAACTCAAGGAGATTCTTGCCAAATTATTTTACTAATGAAGCCCATCTAAATCCATCTAAACTGTGAACACATATGCTTCTACAGGTATCAAGGTTTGTGAAGTAGGTTTTATATAATTGTGGGCAGTCATAAAACAGTGTAGGGACAGTAACAGGACACAAGTTATACAGTTGTTAATCTCTTCAGATGCAAATTAACTAAAACTGAATTTGCTGTTTTGTTCTTTCTTGACTTAAACTGAGTCCTTTGTTTCGTGAACAACAAAATTCAATTAGCCAAATCAAATAAAGTGCTTTCGACAGTCTACAGACTAAAAACACACTAATCTTGTGCTTTTATAATACCTTATTCCTTGGGGTTCCTGAGGCTGATCATAAAGAATCCACAAGCAGGAAAGTTTGGGGCTGGACTGCTGCTTCTGAAAATGTATGGAGGATATTTTTCAATTTGTTTCAATTAATAATAATTACCATTTATTTAGACCCATATTTTAAGCACTGTGCTAGCTGCTTTGCAAACATTCATTTAACCCTTACCAAAACCATGCAATGTAGACATTATCTCTATTTTACAGATGAGGAACCAAGTTCAGAATGGTTACTTGCCACACATAATGGGCTCCACTATTGTGAACCAACCCAACAGCTACTTCTTTGCAATTGATCATTAATCAGACTCTCATCAAACATCAAACTCTCAGTTGTCTACAACAAAGAATACTGTATGTATACTATGCCTGATTCATGTTGAGATTTGACAGAAAATAACAAAATTCTGTAAAGCAATTATCCTTCAATTAAAAAATAAATAAATTAAAAAAAAAGAATACTGTAAACACTTATCCTCAGATACCACAGTTTAAGACAACTGGGGTAACACTGCCTAACATACAAAGGTAACAGGATGCTTGAGTAAGAGTCACACTAAAGCCAAAGATGCCCATAAGGTCTTCCCCCTTTCTGAAAGCAGAAAATCACCCCCAAAGACTTCTTGAATACTATTAATTATCAGCTTTGACTCATTTTTAAATCCCAAAACAATATACAAAGACACCATCGCCTTGCCAGTACCAGGTGCACCACAGTCACGAAAGAAAATCCGCATGGACTTCAGCTGCCCACCAGCCAGAGAGCCCTCTGCCCCGCTGTAATTGGCCTCTTCTAGCTCCACATTCCTAATATACATCTCTACTTATGCTTCAAAAAACATATTTTTGACTCCAAAAAAAAGAAAAAAAGATGAAATCCTGGGCAAGTCCTGACCTTCCTACACATCTACCTTTTTACAGTGGCAGGAAAAAATGGAGGCGGGGACAGAGGAGATATCTTAATCCTTTACAGCACACCATTCCCACTGGACAAACGAACAGGGAGGACAGTGTCTTGGTCACCAGATCCATACACCATGTACATCAAGAGGCAGAAGCAAACTGCCGAGACTGGAACTTAGGAATCTGGGGCTCCAGTGGCAAACTGTCCCTGGACACTGGCTCAGACTCAGTGAGTTAATTAAGAGAAAAAGAACCCAATGTCTTTGATCTGATGAAGAATTATATAATAGGAACACTGAGGGAAAAGGACCACTTGACAGAAAAATTCAAAACAGAATTATGAATCCTACCTACTAATCTGACTTTGGCCAAGACAATGGGATCATATCTCTAGATAACTGAGATGGTTGAATCTAAAACATACAATCATCAAAATGGTGAAACTTTAGACCTAGTGCCTTCAAAACTCTATCTACTCCTAGACTATATTGTAATTCTTCTTGGAGAACAGAATCCCCAAAGCACATTTCCTACAGTCTTACAAGAACTGTCAAGAATGATGATCTCGAAAGAATTTTTTGTGATATTTAAAACAGCAGCCCCCAGTGGCTACTGAGCATTCAGCAAGGGGTTTACATGACTAAAGAACTCAATGTTAAATTTCATCTTAATCAATTTAAACTTAACTATCCATGTGTGGCTAGTGGCTGTTGTACTGAACAATGCAGTTCTAAAAGTTAACTTTCAGCAAATAACATATTTGAAAAAAATTAGTCTTTTCTTCCTTAAGACTCAACAAAACAGCCAGGAAATCACATTATCTGTTCAAAAAAATCTCTTTCTGGGCAAACCCATAGGACAGCAATAATCTGTCACCACCCAGTCAGGCAACAGGATATAAGATTCAATGACCATCTCATCTTTAGTCTCCCGGGATTTCTCTCCATGTTTTCCTTTGAAACTATTACTGCCTTACCCTAAATAAAAAATATTCTTCTTTCTCTCCATCACTGGCAGTATCTCTCACTGGGCAAATCTGGTGACTTGATAATCTGGGTCTTCCCAAACTTTAAGCTGGGAACTTGACTTTTCCCACATGTTTTGCCAAACAAACCAAACAAATTTTGCAACAGTGTGAACTGAGAACATCTTAATTAATTAATTTTTGATAAGAAAAGAAAAAGAAACAGACTTTAGGACTCAGGAAGGAGGTGAACTTGGTATTGAAAGTGAAGGGATGAGTGCTATTTCCCCAGAATAGTTTTTCCAAGTCCATCCATGAGGAAAATCTTCCCCTTCAGGAGACTCGAAAGATTTTCCTACATGAATTTTCCGATGCTGACTGAGGTAGGCACTTCGGCTGAAGCATTTCTCACAGTCACTGCATTTGTAAGGTTTTTCTCCCATGTGGGTCCTCCGGTGCCTGATAAGGTTAAAGCTCTGACTGAAGCACTCACCACAGTCAGGACATTTGTAAGGTTTCTCTCCCGTGTGTGTCCTTTGGTGAATCACCAGGGTGGAACTCTGACTAAAAGTTTTCCAACACTCAGAACATCTGTAAGGTTTTTCTCCTGTATGTGTTCTTTGATGTCTTATGAGATGAGAGCTGAGGCCAAAACTCTTTCCACACTGACAACATTTATATGGCTTCTCTCCTGGCTGAATTCTGCATTCTTCTATCAGCCTATAGTTCTGACTCAAACTTTCTTCATATTCAGAACTTTGATAGGTTTTGTCATCTGTGTGCATTTTCTGATGTGTAACCAGGTTTGAACTTCGACTGAAATTCTTCCCACATTCTATACACTGATAGGGTTTTTCTCCTGTATGTATTCTCTGATGCTTGATTAGAGTAGAATTACAACCAAAGCTTTTTCCACACTCAGGACATTTGTAGGGCTTCTCACCAGTGTGTGTCCGCTGGTGGCGAATCAGACTAGAGCTCTGACTAAAACTCTTCCCACAGTCAGGGCACTTATAAGGTTTTTCTCCAGTGTGGGTCCTCTGATGTTCTACAAGCACATAACTATGGCTGAAGCATTTCCCACAAACTGGACATTCATATGGTTTTTCACCTGTATGTGATCGGTGATGCTGAATAAGGTGAGAGCTACTGCTGAAACTCTTTGCACACTCGGGACATTTATAGGGTTTCTCTCCCGTGTGAGTTCGTTCATGGATAATAAGATGGGAGGTGTTGCTGAAGGTTTTCCCACATTCACCACATTGGTAGGGCTTCTCGCCTGTGTGTGTTCTCAGGTGCTGAATCAAGTGAGAGCTGTTACTAAAGCACTTCCCACACTCAGAACATCTGTAAGGTTTTTCTCCTGAGTGGGTCCTCTGGTGAGTTCGAAGATGAGAACTATTACTGAAGCTTTTCCAACATTCAGAACATTTGTGGGGTTTGTCCCCAAATGATGGGTCAGCAGACCCAGTATGTTCTCCTGGGTTCCATCCCCAGTGATTGCATTGTTCCTCCTCTTTTTCTGTACAATTTCCCTGATTCTCCAAGTTGCTATCATTCTCACAGGAATCATCACATTCAGTTTTATCTCCTTGGGACCCTGTCAATAGTATTTCTTTTGTGTCTTCATCCTTATAATTTTCTGGGTCATCACTTCTAGACCATTTTGAGGCTCCCTCTTTATCTGCCTTGGAGTTACTGCATTCAACAGTTTTAAAATTATTCTTACTTTCATCTCCTGCAGGAATAAACAAATACTCTAAACATTCCCTAGTCTCTGCCAGGGGGAAGAAATTCTGAATTATAGTGGAAGAGAGGGAATAACAAACTCAACCTTGTAAAATGTTTTAGATTTAAAAAGTGTTTCCAGAAGAATATTAAACAATTATTAGTTGGGGGAAAAAAAAGTGTTTACAGCTAGTTTTATTTCTTTTACTCAATGTGTTCATCAGAAGCAGGTGAATTTTTTGTATTTATAAAAACAGTAATGAAGTGTCTGGTCAGTTCTCACCAGTTGCCATGGTGGATATCAAAATATTAATAAAAATACATTAACTGAATTTTATTCTAGAAGACTTTAAAAAGTAAGAGACAAAGTGAATAGAACACTATCTGAGGTGAAAACGAGATAAAAATATTAGTTAAAATCTGAGCAAACAAAGAAATAGCAATGATACCCACTACTTATTAAGAACGGTAGTTTTGTATATAGTATATCAGTATCTTAAAAAAATATGCAAGACACATATTATCATTCACTTTTCTTAAAGATGAGAAAACTGAGGCTGTAGGAGTTTTCATAGCTTATGACAGATCAAGGGAATCAAATTAAAGTCCGTCTCATTCTAATGCCCTGATCTTTCTATACATTCTACAGCATGTCTTAAAAAAAATTCCCAAAGGATTCACATCTTCTTGATCTCTCACCTGTAAAAGTGCTGTTCAAACTCTCCTTCTTTGTGAAGCCACTAGAATCTGAGACCAGTAGTTTTTGCTCTTGTTCCATCACAATGATCAGTCAGATTAGGGATCAGAAATCCTGCAGAAGGAAACGAGTTATGTTTAAAAGCATTTGTAACGTTTCTCCTTCCTTCCTTCCTTCCGACCATTGCAACACAACAACAGTTAAGCACTTACTGATCTGCGGACCATACTGAACACAAGGAACATGGGCTTTTGAAATCCTTTCAGGAAAGCTAACCTCAGATTCAAGTTATTCACGAGCAAGCATTAACCTGATTTACCTTTCCCAGGGAAATAATTTAAAAATTAAACCTTTGCAATAAAGTCTGAGGATCAAGGTTTAAAAAGAGAATAAATATTAACACTGTCCACTTGGAACTCAGAAACACTTTTGGTTGAAAAACTGAAGTCGTTTTTTGGAAAAGGCACCAATAGTAAGAACTTAGGAATCAATATGCAGGAATAAGCAGCAGCTAAAGAGAAACTGTTTAGTTTACAAAGAATAAGTGGGTCCTTGACAGAATGATGAAACCTTTGAATTTCAAACATTAAGTTAGGATTTACTTGACTAGTAACAATAAATTAAGATGAAGTAGAGCTAAAATAATTACAGCCAATAATTTCTAATTATAAAAGGGAGGCTAACAAGGGACCTCTCCTTGTCTCTTACTCTCTATCATAATCACAATATCCCTTTCAGCCTAAGCTTTATCTTCCGGACCCAATTACAACCCCTGACCTACTTTAGGGACTGGAAGGCAACTACATATGGTCTTGGCCTTGTATAAACAGGTATCAGCATGTTATAGGTGAACAAAACAGACATTAAGAAACTTTCCCAAAGTTACACAACCACAACATGGTAGAGCAGGATTCAGTCCCAAATCTGTTGGACACTGAATTTAATACTCTTGTCTATTACAGTAAACAACTAGAGAAGAAAGCATAAACTGGGCGTAATTCCAACCAGCAAATGATCAGGACTTTTATTTTGCAATATATTGACTTCCATCACCAGCACCTCCCCTACTGCCTGCACCACAAGCCTTTGTGGGATCTTAGTTCCCCCAACAGGGATTGAACCCCAGGCCGTGGAATGAGAGTGCCAAGCCCTAATCACTGGCCTGCCAGGGAATTCCTATATTAACTGCATTTTTAGAAAACCAATTTATATCCCTAGACCTTATATCAAAAGAAGCGGCATTCTCTAAGCATCTTCAATATATATGAAACTTCTCTAAATTACAAGTATGTCCAATGTTTGTGTAGGGGAAAAAACATACACCTGAACTCAAAAAAAAAAAAAAAAAGTTGTTCAAATGGAATGTTTTACCATCCGAGTTACATACTTCTCTCACAGTCCTTACAAAAGAAGCAGAAGTCTACGTAAGATACCCGTGCTACCATTTTCCCGGCTAAGAAACTTATTAATTTTGGTAACAGAGGAGCCCTCAGGAACACTGGCTCAGCAAAACGGTAGCAAACTTAAGGCCACAGTTTCTATTAAAAGGCTGTCCTTAAGATGCTACGCCACAGAGAAAGGCTGTTTTTACTGCCTAGAGCAAAAAGGTGATTAGGAACGGGGCAGTGCTTCGGCTTAAAGACTCCCAAAGAAAATGCACTGCCTGAAGCTTAGCTTTAAAAAGCGCCGGCAGGGAGCACAGGTCGGGTACACTGCGGATGAGTTCCAGGGGAACAGATCGTCTCCAGTCGACACGGTGCTTCCAGGGACGCTGCAGGGGAGGGAGGCGCAGTGGCCGGGGCTGCTGGAGCTGCTGGGCCTTCGCCCTTCACAGCAGCGGCCGTCCTCTGCAGGATGAACACTGCAGCCTGGGCGACGCAGCTTCCGCTCCTCCTGCCCGAAACCCTCGGCTCCGTCCCCCTCCCCGAGAAGCAACTCACTGTTTCGGGGGCTACAGCAAGGCGCCCCACACCCCCCGCAGGCCCGGGGCTAGGAGCCCACTTTACTTCTAACTCCACCAACCTAGGGTCCTAACCTCTCAAACCCGGAAGCCAGAAACAGGAAGTCCCCCCTTCGCCCACAGTGGGCTTGACGGAGCCTCTCTAGAAAACAGTGATGGCTGGCGCTCGTTGATCTTAACCCTTAGGGTCCCGGACAAGAAGGAGCGTCCCGGTGGCATTCCTCTTCCTTGTGGGCAAGTTTGCCGACTCTGATTCTCATCATACCTCACATTTATCAGGTGCCTTATAATAGGGGACCAGTTGGAGCTGATACTTTTCCTTGCCATCGGGACATCATCAGATTTCTCATCATCACTGGAATTAAAAAGAAGCGAGTATTTGTTAAGCGCCGACTCTGTTCCCACCGCTGTGAACTGGGAGGTATATTTAGCCATCTGTGAAACCGGGAGCGAAGGCATCCATCCACATATAAAACAACTAGTTTACGAGGCAACGTTGTGAATAATATTTGGTGAAACAAGCTTTCCTCCTTCATTACGGAGAAACTAGAAATCAATCCCTTCATCTCCCCGCATCAATCTAAGTCTGCAGTGCAAGCGTCTCTTCCTTCCCTCCAATTACAACAGAGGATTGGTCCTTCGCATTTTAAAGGAGCCCTCCACTGCCGGTCACCTTCCTCCCTACCTTCATGGGATCCTTACACCATCAACTGAACTCCTGACTCTCCCACCACCATCCCCAAACAGTCCTTCAGTTTTTCTTTTTTAAACGCCTGATGTTTCCATTTTATCATTTCCCACTCATCTTTTAACTCATTTCTCCTGTAGTAAAAAAACAATGAATCACTAAGATCATCAATGACCTCTGCCTTCTTAGCACATCGGTATTTTTTGGTTCCCAAGTCCTCTTTCAGGAGTTCTGACACTGCTTTCTTCTAGAAACACTCCTTTGAGGGGAACTGCACTCTCCTCACTGTCCTCCAACAGCTCTAGTCAGTACTGTCTTTTGCAAGCCTGTGTGTGTGTGCCTGTGCTCAGTCATGTCTGACTCTGCAACCCCATGGACTCTAGCCCGCCAGGCTTCTCTCTCCATGGGATATCCCAGGCAAGAATACTGGAGTGGGTTGCCATTTCCTCCTCCAGGGTACCTTCCCAACCCCAGAATTGAACCCATGTCTTCTGAGTCTCTTTCATTGGTAGGCGGATTCTTCACCACTGAGCCACCTGGGAAGCTCCTCACTTCCAGGACCCAGGGACAAAGACCAGCCAAATTCTTGTTATACAACAGGAACCAATCCAATCCTTCTTCCCTGCATCCTTCCGATCGCCTCAGATGGTGAAAAGTGCCCCACCACTGCTGATTCTCTGCCACTATCCCCATCATCACCACCACAACCACCAGAGGAAGAAATTCCTCTCTGCTCTTTTCCACAGCCCAGGAATACTCATGTGTCTGAGAGATAAACTTCATACTTGCTATGGCGTGAACTGTGCCCCTCCCCACCAATTCATATGTTGAAAACCTAAACACCCAATGTGATGGTATTAGGAGATGGGGCCTTTGGGAAGTAATTAGGTCTAGATGAGGTCATGAGAATGGGACCCTCATGATGGGATTAATGCCTTTTTAAGAAAAGACACCAAAGACTGATATTCCTCTCGCCCCTCATCGCACATCCTCTCACTCCATACCATGTGAGGGCACAGAGGGCAGCCGCATGTTGGCACCCTGATCTCAGACTTTCAACATTGTTGAAAGTTGTTTAAGCGACCCAGGATATATGGTATTTTGTTGATCTGATTATATGAGCAGAGCAGCTCATACTAAAGTGTCCATTGTCAGGTTTTATCCTTTGCAGGGATATTTAAACTAGAAGGTGGTTTAAAAGATGGAATCCCTGATTGGCAGATGGGGCAAGGCCATGTCATAACAAGCAGCATGATGTCCTAATCAGTGAGTTCTTTGCCTCACATACAAGATTTTTGACTCTTAACTAAGAGATCAAACCTCAACCACAGTGACTTGGGTATGATGATACACATCTTCCCAGGTCTGAGGATTACTTATTTTTAGTGGTGGGCTTTCCAGTGCTCTCAGCAGATCTTTGGCTCTTTTTTTTTTTTTTTCATAATCTCTCCTCCCACTCACCCCTGCATTATTTGGCCTGAGAATATGTGCCAAGAATATCTACTGAAATAATCCCTGCTGCAAGTGTCCATGACTCAGAACCTCCAGGGTGGATTCTAATGAAATAGAGACTCAGTTTAAGGAATATGTATGAGCTGGCACAGAGTGCCAAAGATATTGGAAGCCAAAAACCATAAATTTCCAAGGCAGAGGACCATTTTATTGAAACAGATGCCAAAGAAACTGCAACATCTTTTTTCAAAGTGGGTGGGAGGGATGGGTGTTTGGGCTGTGAAGGAAAAGAAATGTCTGTATGGATTTTATTCTGGTAGAGCAAGTAAAGGGGATCAACAGCTCAGAGTCTAGATTGTCCTTTCTCATACTAGCCTGGAATGCTCTTTCCTTAGTCATGTTAAATGCTCAGAATTCTAAACTGTGTCAGCAGGTGGCTCCAGAGGCAGCTGTTTGGTGAGACTGCCACAAAATTTAAATAATGCTGCAGATTAACACATCCCAGTATAATCTTGCATCTTGATGCAAATAAACGTGATATTTGTAGCAATGTGATTTAACAAAAGTAAAATCTGAATGTAATAAAGGATTATAAACATGGATATTCTCTAATAGGAACCATATGGAATTAAATACAAGACAGAGAGAATTTTGCTGGGTGCCAAACACCAGTCTCCAGAATATTAAGGGTCCCGTCTCCTCTTTGGCCAGATTTTCTCTACGGTTAGTTGTCCCCAAGATTCCCATTCTGGCTCCTACCCTACTGCAAGCCAGTCACCCTCCAGCAGACAGAGGATCAAGATGAAGCAGGCCTCAATCTGGCTGCAGATGAGAATGCCTGTTCTTAGGGCCAGTTCTCTTTTATAGCCACAGAGCTGAATAATGTAGAAAGTTGCAAAACCGGCCTCAAAATTTTCAGGAACCCAGAAGGACACCATCTGGAAATCTGAGGTGTGAGTACACATTATGAAGCCTGGACTA